AGGTGTAGTGACGTGAGTGTCATGGCCTGTGTGTGTGAGCCGGCGTTTTGTGTTTTTGAATTATTAATAGTCTTTCATGTCGTTGTTATTTAGTTTCTAGTCTCTTGATCTCTGTCTCTGTACTTCCCCTTTGTTCCTTGTGTCACATCTAGTCAAGTTATGGTTTCATGTCTGTGCTTTTCACTGTCTCGTGTTTCCTGTTTTACTTTGACAGTCTCCTGCGCTATGTCAGGCTTTTCTAGTTTTGCTTCTCCCGGTCTCGTTGGGTGTGATTTCTCCCAGTTGTGTGTGTCTCCTCCTGTGTCTCATTCCCTCGTTAACCCTCTGTGTATTTAAGCCTTTTGTCTTCCTCTGTTTGTCGCCGGATCAACTGTGTATCACCTGCTGCATTTCTCCATGTTCCAGGTTCATTGTTCCTTGTCTCAGGTTTTCGTATTCGGTCTTTAATTTCCTTATATTTGTTTTAAGGTTTTTCCCAGTTTTGTCATTCTCTCCTTTGCGTCGCTGTAATAAAGGCTCGCTTTCACTTTAAGTCTCTCACTGTCTGTGTCTGCACTTGGGTCCACACTCTCTCTCCACACGTCTGCATTAATTAACCAACAAGTGAATGATAACATCTGTCTTCATTGAAGTGCAGTAACAAACCCTGAATTACACATCTACTGCCTTTGACTGGAGCTAAAAAAAATGTAAAAAGATCACTGAACTCCTTTTATGCTTTCTTTTACTTTCCAAGTGTTCTTATATCTGAACAAAAAGGATGAAAACCAGATCCATATTCATTAGGGTGGGCACCGGCACCATAAAAACGCTCCATTCAATACAGTCTCGGTAAATAATGGTATAATTATACGGAGGGACAATTGATTCTTGCTGTGTCATGCAAGTAACTCAGGGCTGGTTAATGACTAAGCTGGAAAAGAGGTACATAAAACTAGATCTTTAAAGCTCTCCCTGTGTGTAATGTTCTGTACGTTCCTCTTGATATGTAGGTCCAGCCACTATCATCCTATATCACACAAGGCCAGTAGCAGGACAAGAGGAATAGCTGACCACACTTTTCCATTCCACAGATCTCACCTAATGTCACCGTCAAGGACTGACCTTTTCACTTACAGTACACATCCTGCTCTAATTGGCTTCGCTATACAGTATTTTGCCTTCAAGTAAAGCGTGATACACAGGAGAACACGGAGAAATTCAGTGGCTGCAAATCCCACTATCTCTGTGCATTACACATTCAGCATGTAGTCAAAGTGGGCCCGTGTGTGTGTTGGGAAAGAGAGAGACAAAAAAGTCTGATAAAAAGAGGTAGATGAGGCAACCAGAGGGGGTATTTGTGTAGTTTTGTTTAGCTATGCTGGAGTCTTGCACTGATACGACATCAAAATCCGGCCAGTATGAAAGAGCGATTTGTGTTTGTGGATCATGTGCCGCTAAAATCATGCACGAAGTTGGTTGAGATCACTAACATCTGACTCGTATGGAGCCAGTGTTGTTGTTGTCAGTGCAGCTGAGGGGGGAAAAGTGATGCATTTCTTTTAAACTAAAAGCTGCTGGAAGATGAATCTTCAGTTTTTTATCCTGCCACAGAGAAGACACGTTATTCTCAAATAGGTCCGGGGCAAAATATCGATTCGCTAACGTTTTGATTCGTCTTGCGATACATTATCACAACAGTGAGGCCACATGTCAGTGATTTAAAGGAAAAATGTGTAGTTGCTTTAAATTTAAGCTTGGACAACAGGGCTAATTATGTGAAGGAACACACAAACATACACACTCTGAGCTGTCCGTTGTTTAAACTCTATATTTAATTGTAAAGCAGTAAAACAATTCAAATATTAAATTGCCAAAAAAAACACTGCTTTCTGAATGTATATGTTCACTCTTATTTTGAAGCCACTAACACATTTCAAAGAAACTGGGCAGATTTACCGCTGAGCTCTGCTAACTCAACAGATTCCAACGTTCCTTTGTGCACTGTATCATAGTCTAAGGAGCTTGCAAAGAAAAGCGTCTGGACTTCTGTAAGTTGCTTGAAGACATTTCACCTCTCATCCGAGAAGCGTCTTCAGGTCTAAGGTCAAATGGTGGAGAGTCCCAGATTTAAGCCCAATGGGAGTGTCCTGCAAGAAGGACATGGACCCCTTGTTGTTACTCTACCTAATCACATGAGCCAGGGTTTGAAAATGGGTGTAGGTCACAATCAGGCCATGTCCACGCTAATATGTTTTTGTTTGAAAACGCATCTTTTTCTCTCCGTTTTGGCCTTCTGTCCACACTGAGACGGCTTTTTTGGTCAAGGAACACGGAGCTTTTTGAAAATGTTCTCCAAAGGGGATGAAAAACGTCTTTTGAAAACGATGACGCATTTTACTTATATGATGCAGTCATGTGACCAATTCAACTAAGATGGCGGATGGCATTGTAGTCGTTATTCTTGCTCGCTTTTGCAACGTTGTACTCTTGTGTTACTCACAGCAACAACTCCATCTCATTGTCAGTCCGTTTAAAAAAACCCGGTGCTTTTCCTCGACAGTTTGCTGCGACATTTTAAAGAGCCGGAAACTAAATAAACAGAAGACGGAAATGACGTAGGTCGAATCGTCTTACGTTTCATTCGCTGTACAGAACATAAGCGTTTTCAGTCGTTTCTTTTCGAAAACGACTGAAAATGACAGTGTGGATGCGGAGCATTTGTAGACGAATTAGCATAGACGTAACCTCAGCCAAGGTTTCGGGTGAACCCGCTGTGAATACTAGCCCCACCCTATCATGTTATTGCCTGAGGTCAAAAGGCCCAGGGTGTATGTTGGCGTTAAGGCGTCTGGGAAGGGATCTCTCCACCATTTGACCCTAGAACTGAAGAATCTTCTCGGTTGAGAGAACGTCTTCAAGCAACTTAAAGAAGTCCAGACGCTTTTCTTTCCAAGCTCCTTAGACTACAATGGCCTGGATGACTGAGAACACAGACATACACTGTATCATCTACCTTCCAAACTCTGAAAGCTTAAATGGAATGGGCTTTCCTTGTATAAAATGTTACCCTATTGGGTTGTATGCATTCATGCAGTATGAGCATATATT